ATTTTTACAATTTGTTTGTACCAATTATTCGTTTTCCGAAGATAACTTTTTTGAATTAACTGACTATTTGTAGTAATTGCTAGCGGGTTGAAGTTCATTTTTTAATTTTAATTATATTTTCAATGAATTTTAAATCTTTTCTTCAATCTTCTAATACTGAAATTGGGAATTTTACAAATAAAAATTGGAAATAAATTTTTTATGGAATGATTTTAAAATTGATAACATCGACAAGTTTGATGATGCCGAAACGAGGAGTGAACATTGAAATAGACATTAATTTTTCCGAATCATAAATTTTTTAAAAAAAACTTTTTTCTAACAGTTAAAAAAAGTTATCTAAAATCCGAAACTTGAAATTCAACGTTCTTCATTCAGGAAATCTGTAAAATTTAGAAAAATTTGCAAAAAAAGATTCAAATAGAAACAATTTATTGGAAATTCAAATGAAGCGTTTAAGTAAATAGCAATCTATTATTTAAAAAAGTTCATATTTCTATTATTTATTTAAAAAAGTTTACAAATTAATATATTAAAGCGATCAATTTTTAAAACAAAAATCAAATTCTTGCACATTTATAAAATTTAATTTCAAAATTAGAAGTTGCTGAATTTAACTTAAAATCTTTTCGATTCATGAAAAAACACAAAATTATTCGTACAGAAATTTAGTTTTCAATGTGCTGCGTAAAAAGAATTTTAATTTCATCAACAATTTAAATGAATGTAAAAAATGATATTGCTACTGAATAGCTGATTTATATTAATAATTATAAATGGAACGGAATTTAAAGGGAAATTCAAACACAGCAACAAATTAATTTAAAGGTCAAAGATAAACAATGCGATTCTATTAAGATTGATAAAAATAATATTTCCTAAAGCTTTCATGGTACTTCCAACATGAACAATTTACTGACTTTCTTGATGTCATGAAACTTATCGAATATGGTAGTACCATCATTTTTTGGAATTTTTTTTTTGTTTAAGAAACCATTGTTGTTTATAAATAATTTTAAGTATAATTTTTTAATACTAAAAATGACTTAGCTATACATGTTTCAATATCTGAAAGTATTTCTAATAGTTATAATAATTCAAAAGTTTTCTACAATAAATATGCCTCAGTGCGATATGCAATCATTTACTTACGTTATATCTTTACATTCCGAATTTTTTGTGCTAAGAATAATATTACTTTGATTAAATAAATAAAAAAGCTGATGAAGCTATTGGTGGAAGATATATTCGGCATCGTGGAACGATCATTTTCATCTTCAGATATTCCATCCATATGTGTTCAGTGTACGATAAATTTAAATCATTTCTTAATCATTTTTATATTGCATTAACTTTTTCAATGCAAATTTGATGGATGAATTAGCTTGTATGAAAATAAAGCGCCAAATGCAACTTTCTTTAAAATCACTTCACATCCTACATTGTTTTCTATGATACATTCAAGGGATATGCTTATGATCCTTTTGAAATTAATACTATCCATTAAAAGAAACCTTTGTTGACACTTCGAATGTATTGTTTTATGAATCGAAGAATTACAATATTATCAGTAAATATTTCTGCCCAAAATGGTAGTAATATTAACATTCCCCTAAAATATGTGTACATTCTTGAAATTTTTCCTGTACACTAAACATTAAAACTAAAAAGTAATAATGAAATTTTAGTAAAAATATGCAAATTAAAACAAAGTGCTCACTGCAACTGTCATTAAAATATACCAAGCATAAAATGATAGAATATAAAAGATGTAGAATTTTTGAAATGTTCACATTGAGAAATGACAGGTGGGTTGATTGGTTGTTGTTCAATATCATTTTGGAGATAGGCAAAGTCATTGATGATTAGTAGCATCGTTTTTTCCCTAACATTTTGATGGTTTTATTAATTTCTATTTACTTTCATCATTTCTCAAGCTTTTTACTGGTAGATTTTTGAAGTGGCGATAGCAAAAAAAGCAGAAAATAGTAAAAAATATATATCGTTGATTTTTCATTAGGAAAATAGGAGAAAAATTAAAGTAAGATCAAAAAAAGTGAATGGATAACTATTCCGTATGAATTGTACGTAACCAAGAAGATTTCGCTGCTTTTATGATTTATTCATTCTTGGAAAAATTTATATTGTAAGAAAAATAATTAATTACTCTGGATATTGCTCATAAACGCTCCATATTAAGACGCTTCTAAACTTAGGGTTGATGGAAAAACAGCATGCATAAGCAGGGGAAATAATAAGTGATTTATATCTGTCTGATAACATATCACTTCTAGAAATAGAAAGAAAATTTATTCATTGAGATCAAATGAAAATGAATTAAGAAGAAAGCGTCACTGGAGATGTTCTTCCGGAAAGTGACATCAAGCAGAAGAGCATTCCGTTGTCCTCTGTATCTGTTCCCAGTCCGCAAATGACCTCACAATCTAGTCGTTCCGCCGGTGGACAACGAAACATTTGGGAGCATAGATTGGGTATCCATGCACCGGAACAGATTTCAGAACAGCAAAAATATTGGGACTATCGAAATGTTTACCATCCACCCGTTCCGAAAGGAATCGAATTGTCCGATAGCGAAGATAAGGAGCGATGGGAGACGATCAATCTCGGCGGTTTAGGCGAGAATGGAGCTAATCGACAAGTGGAAAGAACAGTAAATCTAACCTCATTTGATGAAAATTAACATCAATCTTTTAAGAACTTTCATTAAGATTCCATTTCCAGAGAGCACAACAATTCGTTAGAGCAAGAGAGCGGGAAAACAGACAAAATTCGCAAGAGAAAAATGCAGTATTCCTTATATCGGTGATCTGTTTTGGAATGCAGATAATTCTTGCAATAATTTGTATTGGCCTTTGCATACATCGGGTAATCAATTGAGTAATTAACTGAGCTCTTGTGGAAATGATTACTGAAATGTTCATTTGTATTTTGATTATCATTTCGTTTTTATTATATGAAATTAGTGAGTGATGGCCATCATTTAATGCAAATTTTTGCTAGTTCGAAATTTTTTAATTTAGAAAATAAAAATGAACTGTTATAGATTTTCTATCATGCTCAGATTCAAGCTGGTATTGCTTTTCTTATCTTGGCAATAATACCATTGATTGGTGCTGCTGGTGGTATATTTGCAGCCTTAATGGGAAGCAAAAGTATTACTTCAACTTTTATCTTTTCAGTTTTCTTTCATTTTGCTTAGAATTTTATATTCAACATTTTTTTCTAGTCAACTGTTGATAGAACATTGATGATTTGATGATAAGTTCCAGCAAGAGGAAGATCATAAGTACTTCATGACTTTATTATTGGTTTCATTTTTAGAATCTAATTTATGTAACTTTTCAGCTATCGCACTGGGTACAGCAATTTATAATGTGGCATCGGCTGTTGGAGTAATTGTAGCAGCGATTAATCTGTATTCGTTCAGAGCCTATCAACCGTATCCTGTCACGGCTTTCATTCCATTAGCAGCTGCTGTTGGGACTGTTCAGGCTAATTTTTAATAACAGTCTTAATTTAAAACACTAAAATTGCCTTAAAAGTGTGCCATATTTCATTACGTACCTTACAATATGATTCTGCGACAAATAGTTGCAGAATTCCAGCAAATTAGTTTAATTCGATGATAGTGATAGTGGTTATGATCAAAATCAATCAATATTTATAGATTGCTTCATTCGGAATAATTCTGGTCATCTATTTCAACTTGTTGGCTTCTGCAACAAATTATTCAAGACGTACTGTGTTGTTTTTAAGTTTCCATTTCATTTCACATATAGTTATGAATTTGTCTAAATTGAAACTAATTACATTAATTTAAGAGAAAATAAAGAAGTTAGCTATTAGTGAAAGGATACAAAAGAGCTTACTAAAGAATTAAACTTCGTGCTGCTTTATACAGTATGAAGAAAGTATACTCTTATCTGTTCCGCCAAAGGAAATAATGGTATTTA